TGTGGGCTCAATCCCGGGCTTATGGACCATTAGTTCAACCTTAGGAGGGTTCTTCAAGATTGGGCCGAGAGAGTGGTTGGTCCAACTGTTCTTCTTGCAGTCTGGCCATGCCCCCTACTGCCATGACTGTTGCTGGTTGTAACGCCTTGACCTCCAGGCATATATCATCTCTTAATCCCCTGATGAAGCAGTCCACCAACGCTGTTTCTGGCCACCCAAAAACCCTAGAAGACAAATGTTTAAATTCCAATTGATACTCCATCATCGTTCTCGTCTGTTTCAGCCTGGTAAGTTGTTCGTTGTAGTTCACAAATGTAGTAGGGCCAAATCTATTGCAAAGGGTCTTGGTGAACTCTGACCACATCACCTGTGGTTGGGAGCGACAATACCACTGAAACCATAGGATCGCATCACCGTCCAAATGGATGGAGGCGATCGACACTCTGGTGTGCAGTGATTTTGTGGTATTCAAAATACCGCTTAGCCTTGAAGATTCAGGGGTGGGATCTCTGCTGGAATATTTTGGAAAATCTATTTTGGTTACCTTGCCTGGAAGTGGTGTGCTGCCCCTCCCTCTGTGGTAGTTTGAATTCTCCATCTCCTCATCTCTCCGACTAGACTCCCCTGTCTGCTATTGGGAGGCTATGGCGGACATGGTAGCCCGAAGTTCCTTCAGCTCAGCGACCAGCTGGTGCAGACCCAACTCAATTTGATCGACCCTCTTGTCGACTGTAGTGGATCGTGTCGGCGGCATTGGAAGTGGTAGCCTGCCTCTGATACCAACTGGTAGGAACCACCTACCATGGTAGCCTCTTTGGGAGACTGACCTCCTGAGAACAGAGAAAATAGAGGAAGAAGAAAGGCTTTTCTATTCATCACTTAGTTACAGAATTGGACGCCTTTTTATACTGGCTCAGATGGCTCATCATGAGAATCAGATATTCCCATGTGTAACCAACTCTGGGATTGGATCTGCTGTTGTGGCTACTGGTCCCCTCTGTCTTCTAACGAACTGCTGCGCGATGGGTGGCTTCGCACCTGCACTGTTTTGGGCTCTTGGGCCTGGGCCTGAAGTGGTTGCAACAGTTACCCATAAAAAATGGACTCTTTAATATGTTAGGTTGCATTCCCTGTAAATTTCCTCTTTTTTTATTATTTTAAACTAAAATTTTCACTTTTCTTTTCATAAATTATGAATCTGGGACTTATTGTTCCCCTCTTCCCACTCATCTAAGTAGATCATGACCCAAAGGACGGGGAGAAACTGATATTTAGGGTTCTTTATCCACACGGTTTAGATGCAGCACATGCATTGCTGATACCACTGACCATGTATTAGAAAGTAGAAAAATAATGAATATAAAGAGTTTGATATCATGATTCTTTGTGATTTCTTTTGAAATTTCAAACATGTAGAAGTTCAATTTTCCTATCCGAATTAATTTCAGTTTGAGCAATGTATTTCATGATGTCTTCAGTCTTATCGTAGAAGAGCTAGGTTGGATATTTTTGCTGTTGTGTTAGGAAGTAGTTAATATTATAGTTTACAAGCTTCAGCCCCCTTTGTAGAGCCATAAATGTTCAAAAGAGCTATATGATCCTCTTGTTTTTTTTACACAGTTATTTAAACTAGGGTTCAATTATGATACTGGAAAGACATGATATCCCAAGAACTTGTGACCAATCAACCAGTATTATAAACGTGGTAACCAACAATCAGGTGGTATTTATGAAAATTCATGGGTGGGTTTTGATTGGTCAAAGATCTTCCGGTACCATGTCTTTCCAGCATCATATGTTTTCCCTTTGGAGTCTGAATCATGTAAATATTGCATGCAGTTGAGCACATTTGGAAATGGAAAAGTAATTCATGTAAGGGAAAATTCCCGATTAGTACCCTGTACTTTGGGCCTAGTGCCACTTTGGTCCCCGAACTTTAAAATGCAACAATTCAGTACCCAAGCTTTCAAAATGTGTCAATCCAGTACCTGCCATTGACCAGTCTGTTAATCAACCGTTAAGTGGCATTTGAAAAGACACAAATGCCCTTTGAGTGTCATCTAATTCTCTTTATCAACCTCCAAACATTGATAAAAAATGAACAGTCCCAAGTTCTTGCATCTTCTATTCAAGAAAGTTGGGGTCAGTCTGAGTGGGTATTCTGGTGACCCTAACTTTCTTGAATAGAAGAGGCAATGATTTGGGACTGTTCATTTTTTTTTTATCAATGTTTGGATGGTTGATAAAGAGAATTAGATGACACTCAAAGGGCATTCGTGTCTTTTCAAATGCCACTTAACAGACTGGTTAATGGCAGATACTGGATTGGCACGTTTTGAAAGTTCGGATACTGAATTGTCGCATTTTAAAGTTCGGGGACTAAAGTGGCACTAGGCCCAAAGTACGGGGTACTAATCGGGAATTTTCCCTTCATGCAATTGTCCTAGTTGTATTTTGGGCTGTCAATGGACTCCAAAAGTCCAAAACCTGATCCAATTATTTTGGATCTGGACCTTAGAACCTGCATCCATTTAATGGATCAAATGTGAATTTGACCCCATCTGATCCAATTAAGATCTGTGGTTAAAATTGTTAAAATTTAATATATATATATAATATAATATAATCATGTATATATTATATAACTATATAAAATTTATAAGAAGGAAACTCAATAGTCTATATTTATATAAATTTATTATATATGTATAAACCTGTTCATGGGCAGGGTAGTCCGATGGGCCAGCCCGTTATTTGTCGGGCTTGGACATGATTTTAGGCCCATGGACTCAGGCTCAGGTCCAGAACACTGAGCCTGACTTCTTTTTGGGCTCGGCTCAGGCTTTCTCAAAAAATCTTGTCATGATAATATTTTATATAATAACAAATATATTATTTATATATATTTTATTTCTTTGTTCCACTTCTCTTCTCTCTAGCCATATTGAGATTTTTCATTATTTTTGGGCTTTGAAGTTGTTTAATATAAATCAGTTTTGTTTTTGAGTAAAAAAACCTTCTTGCCCAATTTCTAGGCCAGGCTTCGGGCTTTATATGAGGGCCAGGCTCAGGCTCGGGCATGAACATGTTTTGTTGATATATATGCAAAGCCCAGCCCAGCCTGGCCTGTGAACAGGTCTATATATGTATAAGTTAAAAAGTAATTATTTTTAAACTTTTTACAATTTTATTTATTTTAAAGACAACAAAGAGGATTCGGATTAAATGTTTTCTTGGTTAGCTACACATATTTGGTTTAAAAATACAGGCTACAACTCCTTTTTAGTACATGACAATCTTTTTGTAAAGCAGGGTATGGGGTATAGTCCCTATGTATAACTTCTTGCTATTCATGTTGCTTTTTATGTTACTAAGATACTATACTTTACCTTCTCTCAAAAAAGAGGATTTGGATTAAATCTGAATCCGATGTTGGATTTCTGATTGGATTTAGATTTGATGTTTCAATAATCACATCAGATTTGGATATGGTTAGATCCCATCTGAACCCAACCCGTTTACAGTCCTAGTTGTAATATTAAGTCTTCCACAGTTGTTGTGTTCACCCCCTTGAACCAATTTCTTGGTTTAAACTTTGCTTACTCCCATTAAGTATCATAGTTGCATTGTTCCGATCCATTTTATCTACCAATGTGGAACTTATTTAGTTATTCCCTACTCTGGGTCTGGGCATGCTAAGTCCTGGTATTGTCTCATTGTGATTATTATTATTATTATTTTTTTTGAGAAAAGTAAGTAGATTGTATTAACTGAAAAAAAAAAATATACAAGTATGGACCTCTGCACAAGAAGTTTCTAATTTTCTATACAAGTGCAAGCATTAAGGACCTCCCCAAAAAATCTAATTTCAAAAAAGAGGAAGAAAGGTTATCAGAACTGAAACATGTAAGAGTATAGCCAAGCTCTCAACAGTCAACTGCAGAATTGATAACCATCTCCTCTGGATTTGATTTATGCTAAAAAATTCTACCATTCCTTTCAGACCAGATTTCCCACATAACTGCTAGAGGTACCACATCCCAGCAAGCTCTCCCTTTCTTAGATATTCCTTGCATCCTCCACCAGGCTAGTAAGGGCTTCACAGAATCTGGAAAGCACCCAAAAGCTGGAACAGATTTTCTGAAATGATTCAAGACTTTAAGAGAAATTGCAGAAAAGGAACAAATGGTTCACAGATTCCCTATGGTCGTTACAAAAGGTGCACTCCATGTTTGGTAGATTAGCTCCTTTCCTGACCAGCAATCCTTAGTTAAGCACTTTTCCCATGCCACTACCCACACAACAAATTTGAGGGTGCTGCATTTCACCAAATGGCCTTGTAAGGAAAGGATCTATCTTGCTCTCCCAACAAATCAGCATAAAAGGATCTGACTGAAAAGACACCTGACTTGGACCATCTCCACTGCCTAGTATCTTGTCTGTCCACATTGACTTTCTCATTACACAGTAAGGACATCAAATCAGCCACCCGTCTGCACCTCCCAGTTGAAACAATTTCTTCTAAAAGCAAGATTCCAAGTACCAGAAGTTCCTTCTATCTGAAAGCATTCTGCTACTGTAGCTTCTTTGTTGCAAGCCAAAATAAATAACTCTGGAAAATTTTCTTTCAGTCAATTTGTTACACCAAGGGTCTAGCTAGAGTTTTACAAATTCTGCTACTGGGAAAACTTTACAAATTCGTCTCCAAACTCCACAACCATATGACAATCGAGAGTCCAGGGCATCCCAGCCGTTATCACTTAAACCATACTTCTCAGCAATCAGCTCCCTCCACAGATTATTATTATTATTATTATTCAAAAAGTCTTCAAATTATTCTGTGAAGGTAAATGCCTTTTTAATTAACTTCTGGGTGTACGCAATACACACCTGTATAAATTTTGAGATTCTATTCTAACTTCTCAACAAGATTGAGAGTGGCATTGATATTTGTTTATTTCAAGATAAAACTCAATCAATTTTTTGGCCAATTGATCCAGGTACTTCTTGTAGATCAGTCTGATCGTTTTGTTTTTAAGCCTATGCTGTATGAGCTTCTATCTGGAGGTATGGTGTTTTAGAGTTTAAATGGAGCTAGAATTCTTCATACATTCAAACTAGTTTTGCTCTTTTTCAGAAAAGTTGCACAATTTATAATCTGTGATCTTTCAATTAACAGAAGTTGATGCATGGGAAATAGCACCCCGTTTCTCAGATTTGTTAGTGAACACCACTGTGCAGTTTTTCAAGGATAGAGTGAAATTTTTACAGCCCACTGATCATTTTGAGATAAATCAGCTGACACAAACCCGTTCTGGTGGAATGGTGCATCTTGAAAGTGGACTACTTATTGAATATGATTGGTAAAATTGCCATCTTCTTTACTCAACCTTTGAAATTATTTTGACAGTTAAATTTTGTTTTCCATACCTCATCCCTGACTTTTACAATGACCCAGCATTGAACCATGTCTGTTCCTTAGTCATGGATTTCTAAACTGTAGTCCTTGATCACATTTTATAAAACTTAAAAGTAAATTTAAGGAAGTTGCTATAACTTTTGATTTCTGTATATCAGCAGTTAAGTGGTATAATCCTCTTTGGCCTTGGTTTCTTGTACTTGGATTTTGCTTTAATACCTTGGTTGATGTTACATTTTTCTGCCTGGGCAGCCAGGTTGGTTCTTGCTTTGGGAGCTGAAGCCAAACTTGATCTTGTACCAGGTGCTGCAGAGTTTGCATTGCCTTTCTCCACCTTGGAGGATGCATGTGTAAGGGCCTTGAGAATGTTCTGTATTTATTTCTTTTTTTTCCTTCTCCTGGTATTCTCTTTGCTTTTTAATGATTATTGGGACTCAAAAATTAAGCAGTTCTCAAATACATTTTCTTATGATCCTTGGATATAATACAAATACTGGGTCAAGTTTGAGAACCACTTGGCTGCAGAGTTTGGATTGCCTTTCTTTCACTTAGAGGATGCATGTATAAAGGCTTTGAGAATATTCTGTGTATATTCTTCTTCTTCTTCCTTTTTTCTTTCTATTGATATTGTCTCTGCTTTTAATGTTCATTGAGATTCAAAAACTAAGTGGTTCTCAAATATCTTTTGTTCTATCTTGGCTATGATGTTATAAATAATGTGACAATGTGACAGGTTTCAAGAATTAGAGTTTACTATGCCATGAGGCATGGCATAACCATCCATGCCGTATCCGATCCAATCCGAAGATCTGGATTCGACAAAATTGTTAGACAGTTTTGTATGCCCTTAGCTTCAATCCGATTTGATGTACTTTTGTTATTTAGTGGAAATAAATAAAGTGCATGCTTGATTCATGTTGTTTG